TGGAATTTTTTTTTTAAAATTTATTATTTTTATTTTAAAAATATAAGAAATTAAAAATTAAGGTACATGTCAAATAATGATTTATTGATTTATTTTAACTGTACTTTTAGTTATTTTGACGAACTAGACACTTAAAATTGTAATATTAAAAAATTTAAACACTTTCATTCATAAACAAAATTTGGGATAAACTATGCATTTAGTACATAAACTATTAATTTTGGTCCATTTTAATATTTACACTTTTAGTTTTTAAAAATCATACTTAACATTTAGTTTTTGTTTCATTTTAGTACACCACAATTAGAAACTTAACGAACGAGCTCGCCGGTCGATGAATCCCAAACTTTCTAGCCAACACCTTTTTTTACCTCCTGAACACAATTTCAACATCTGTTTCACCAGAAAATATCTCAAACTCCCCCAAATCGATGATATACTTTTTGATTTCTTCATCTTTCAAATCTCCATGGTCCACGGTCTGATGGAATTGAAACTGGACTATATTGGTCAACTCGTCAATCTCTCGTAGTCCACCGTTCGAAGTTGATTGTTTGTCCACTGGAGCTATGCTACGTTAGCTCGTCCGTTAAGTTTTTAATGACTGAATACTAAAGTGAAATAAAAACTAAACGTTGAGTATGATTTTGAAAAAAAAATAAACTTTAGAAACTAAAATAAGTCAAAATTGATAGTTTAAATACTAAACTAGTAGTTTACCTTTGGGTATGGTTTGAAAAAAATAAAAGTTTAGATACTAAAATAAGTCAAAATTAATAGTTTAAATATCTAAACGAGTAGTTTACCAAAAAAAAAAGTTAAACACCTTATAATTTAAACACTTTTTTATATTAATCTTTTTTGTTTTAATTTAATTTTGCCAATAAATAATCAAACGGCTCATATCCAATCTGACCACATGGTTACATTACGAACGGAGGCACAGGAATATATTCCCTTCCCCAAACAGATTATATACAAACTGAGGAATGAAAAATAAAATAAAAACCACGCTTTGTGCAATGTGCAGGACAAAGACATCAAATCATGAATTATTACTAATATTCAATTATGAAAGATAAGAAAAGAAATACATTAAATTAAGCAAAAAGAAAGGAGGAAGAACACACTACTCTCGTATAGGTAGGGGGCTAAGCAAGCAAAAGCATAGCCTATACAGTAACCAAAAGTGAAACTTTCCTTTTCCTGCAGATACCATTTGCAGCAGTTTGCAGCGGAGGAAGGAAACGGCGGCGGCGCTGCTTTGCTTTGGAGATGACAGTGATCGGAGAGAAAGGGGATGAAGGAGGAGAAGGTAGTGGTGCGACGGTGTTTGTGGGGGTCAAATTTGACGCTGACAGCAAACAATTGCTGACATGGGCGCTTGTCAAGGTGGCTCAGCCCGGTGATCAGGTCATTGCTCTTCACATCCTTGATTCTGCCACTGGTATTATTCCTTACTTCTCACTTTTCTCCTTTTACTTCGATTTAACATTTTTATATGTATAATTTTTGCAACTTTTGAAATCTTTATTTTCGGTTCCACCAGAGAGCCCGGCGTCGATTCTGTCTCTTGTTAAGCAATTTGATTTCACGCTAGCGGTTTACGAAGGCTTCTGCAACCTGAAACAGGTAAGTTTAAAGTTTTCTTTCTTTTTTTTTTGTAGAAATTGATTGTTGAAAATTGGTGAGAAAAATGATTTCAGGTTGATTTGAAGCTGAAAGTGTGTAGAGGGTCATCGCCGAAGAAGAGTCTGGTAAGGGAAGCCAAGTGTTTCGAAGCAGCTAAGCTAATTCTGGGAACTACCAAAACCCATAACCCGATGCAGTCGTCTACCTCAGTTGCGAAATTTTGCGCAAAAAAATTACCCAAATGTTTCTCGGTTTACGCTGTTGAGAATGGGAAAATTGTGTTCCAAAGGGAAGCAATTGAGACAAATTCGAACAGAACCCAAGGTCGTGCTTCTTCTTTCCTTTTTAGTTCTAATTTGTTCTTATATCTAATTATTAGAAAATTGCTGTTTCTCCTATTGAATTCTGCTTATTCATTTATATATTTGTTTGGTTGAACAGACAATGATTCACCGGATACGAGCCTTGTCCGGTTAGTGTCCTTGCCGAAGAGTATAAGAACAAATAATGGCAATTTCCCTCATAAATCTGGCTTGTTCGCAAGGCATAAAACGTTAAAGAAGAATTGTGATGCTTGTGCTTCAGCCTTGAAATTGCCAAAAAATTCTAATTCCCAATTGCAGGAAGAGTTATCCGGAAATGGCAGTGTGGGTAATAGGCTTGGTTTGGTACCATTTCGAATGAGTGAGGGTAATGATGTTCTGGTTAGAAAGTTGCCAGGTTGGTCTCTTCTCCGCTGGGCGTTTTTACCTAAGCGGCATCACTCGGATAATTCTTCTGCAAAGAAATCTATGGACCAACAATGGGTGTTAAAATTACCAAGCCAGCATTCCTCAGCTGTTGTTTATCCTGATCTAAGGCAAAACCGTTCTGATCGAAAAAAGAATCATTCTTTCGATTTGGACGGAGAAACTGGTGCTATTGTACCGGTTGGCTGTGAGGCTATTTGTCGTATGTCTCCTTGTGATTTTCCAAAAGAGCTACAAAGTTTACTTGAGAAATCCTCTTCTTTTTGTAGATTGTTTAGTTACCAAGAGCTTTTGGAAGCCACCTCTAGCTTCATGCCAGGTTTATTCTTCATTAGCAGTTGATGTAAAAATCTTGAGTTTGGCTTATTTTGAATGTTCATGTCAATGATTCTTACTTTCTGATTTTGCAGAGAATATGGTAGGTAAAGGTGGTAGCAGTCATGTTTACAGAGGGTGCCTTCCTGATGGCAAGGAAGTGGCAGTGAAAATTGTTAAGCCAACTGAGAATGCAATCAAGGAGTTTGTTCAGGAAATCGAGATCATTACGAGTTTAAACCATAAAAATCTGATTTCCTTATTTGGTTTCTGCTTCGAGGAAAACAAGCTGCTCTTGGTATACGATTTCCTCTCCAGGGGAAGTCTAGAAGAGAACCTTCATGGTAAGGACTTTATCCATTCTTTTATTTGTTGAATTGAATCTTTTCCTTCCTGGAATTGGTTGTAATATACAGTTTTCAATTTACTATATTTTCATACCTGATTGGTTTCTCTTGTTACAAGGCAATAAGAAGGATATTGATGCATTTGGCTGGCAGGAGAGGTATAAGGTGGCGGTGGGCTTAGCAGAAGCACTTGATTACCTACATAATGGTTGTGAACCACCTGTGATCCACAGGGATGTGAAATCTTCCAACATTCTTTTGTCCAATAATTTTGAGCCCCAGGTAGCACGTTGAAACATACAAGTTCGAAAGTTATCTTTTTGGTTTTAAGCTTTCTTGGCTCATTACTAGCTCTTCTGCTTCTTCAGCTGTCGGATTTTGGACTTGCTAGTCGGATCTCAAGTTCTGCATCTCATACTACTAGCATGGATGTCGCAGGAACCTTTGGGTATGTGATATGCTCCGAGTTTTTTTCCAGTTTCTTACTCACTTTAGATACACTTGGTAATACTTGTCTGTGGCAGTTACTTGGCTCCTGAATACCTCATGCATGGCAAAATGAGTGATAAAATTGATGTCTACGCATTTGGCATCGTCCTCCTAGAGCTCCTCTCTGGTAAAAAGCCCATTGATGATAACCGTCCAAAAGGTCAAGAGAGCCTTGTTATGTGGGTGAGTTCATCGTTTATAAGCTCTTCGGGTATCTGCCTTATCTGTTGTAACACAGTTTAGAGCACATAAACAATCTTTATATAGTCCAGAAAAACATGTATATTTGAGTAGATCGTTATCTAAATTCGTTTCTGTTTCTCCCTTTCTCATAGTGTCAAAAGTACAAAGCCTGCTTCAATCCACTTATTTTCTGAACCAGTTTTTGACACTTGGTAATTCTCTGATATTAACATCCAGGCAAAGCCAATTTTAAAGGACAGCAATTTTTCTCAGTTGCTAGATCCACAGCTTGGTAGTAGCTACGAATGTCGTCAGATAGAAAGAATGATTTTAGCTGCTACCCTGTGCATTAGACGAGCACCACTAATGCGGCCTCAAGTTAGTCTAGTAAGCTCACTCTCACTCGACCTTTTTTCCTTTCTCTCGCTTTATATTTATGGTTACATTGATCATATCAATCGTTGTTCGACTACAGATCGTGAAGCTCCTACAGGGTGACCAAGAAGTGACAAACTGGGCACAGCAACAAGTTAAGGAATCAGAAGAAGTCGATATTGCCGATGACGAATTATATCCTACTAACATGGAATGCCATCTTAACCTTGCATTACTAGACCTGGAAGACGATTCACTTTCCACAAGCAGCAACGAACAGAGTTTCCAAATAGAGGATTACTTGCAAAAGAGATGGAGCCACTCATCAAGCTTCTCCTAGCCATCTCAATGCAAGTGTGCTTTGTTGATCGTTTATGCGTATATTTTTTCCTTTGTAGTTTAACGTCACGGGTGTCTTAGGGTCAATCATCTGCACCATTTGTGTATGCCCTTTCCTTGTTTAGTTATTAGATCAGGTCTTGGAAGAGAGGTTGTTTAAAAGAGCTTCCTTACCATGAGTTATGTTGTGTATTCTTGCCCATGATTCCCAATTTTATGCATGGGCTAGTTTTCAGGGAAATATAGTGAATAACAAATGTATATTCAAAACATGCACGTGATTGTAAATAAATCATTCCTCAAGATGGTAATGATGCTAACCTTTGTTCTTTTGACATACATAACAATCAAGTTGATTAAACTCGGATTCGGCCGGATCTGTGGCTTCATTTCTTTCCATTGTTCCCTCCATCGACTAAAGCTTGAATTCTTTAACATCACGTCTTTAGACACCTCTTTTTTCTTAACTTCATTGCGTATTTCTCAAACTTATCGATCTTGTGCCATAACAGGTTTATCTTCGTTCTATCACCCTCACTTAGATTTTCCAGCCACTCCCAGGCTTCTTCTACCTTTGCCCAAATCAATGGATCGTGTCACACTAGCAAACTTACTCCTCTTGCTTTCTTCAATTTGAAGGCTCCTAATCCTCCTCCATTTGTCAAATATTTCATACCTCCATTGTCTTCCATTCTCTATGTAGTGCCCACGTTCACAGTGCATCCCGGTCCGGTAATAGTCCGCGATGTTGAGCAGTTCGACGAGAAGCATATAGAACAGAGAAGAGTTCACCCATTTCCCCTTCCTGTCAAAATCGCAAGGCAACTTCTTGTTTTACGACAGGGAGAATACACTATCCCAGAATGAAGCAAGCTTATGGCGGTTCATGTTGACTCTGGCTTCTCTTCTAGAGCCTGTCTTGCGCATGAAGGAATCGTAGTAACCCATTTGGTCATCAGCCTCGTCGCAACATGCTTTGTACCACTCGATTTCTGCTCTGAAAGGAACTAACTTGGACAATCTTATTGCTAAGTTAGCTGCAGTCAGATTTGGCCTATGATCGTTTTGACCCATTTGCTGGCACTCCTTGGCTATAACTGCTACATTTTCCCTCAGATTCGAGCTGGTTTGCATGGAAAAGCAAAGTTCTTGAACTTGAACTGGTTCCTTGTAGGTCAAATCAGATGACTGCAATGCCAATGCCACACCAGCTTCAAAATTCGAATCAGGTATGCCCTCACCATTTTCATGAAAGCTTTTGGCCTTCAAAAACTGTTTAGAAACATTCCCTACATAGTCTCCATACATGAGATGATCCTCGATGCAGCAACTTAAAGAACTCATTGCCATCATCAAATACATCATCCGAATAATAGACGTCGCATTTTTGACACAAACGGCACCCTCTCGGCTGCAAAAAACATAGCTCCCAAGAGGCCAAAATGAACTCTCGGCCGACAGATCTTCAGCACGTGCTAACACTTCCAAGTCCTTTAAAACACATTGAAAAACATTAGTTTTTAGATCTTGGGGTAGTTGAGAAGAAATGCCATCAGCAATAACGTGTGGAGAAGCCATGCAGTAGTGCCAGAAATGCAGCCAGGATTGTATTATGGAAATGTGGTTCATTGTTTCAGTAAAGAGTAGTAGCCTCGGCATGATGTCGTGGTTGGAAACGACATGGCAAAAGTTTCCACCCCATCTTTGGCGGAGAATCGATCGTTGGAGGGCTTCGTTGCCAAGCAACGGAGAGCCGAATGTAATGCATAGCACCGACATTGGAGATGACATGGTGGAGTGCAGATGACAGAGCAGCCATAGAGCTGAAAGAGAGGCTGCTGTTCCGCCTATGGAGTGGCCTGTGAGCACTATTGACTTCACTTTTCCTACTACAGCCTCAATCTGCATCACCATATCAAATTACTTTGGTTGCTTCACTGCAACTTGATTCTTTTAAGTTTTAAGGAAAAGTAATTATGTAAATGGTTGCAGGAGAAGATTCTTGTGGTGACTAAACAAAACGGAGTAAGGATAGAATACACCACATGGCAATCAATTATCAATAAGATTATAAATGAGATATTAAATTTTAAAAAATTAAATATTCACTTAATTAACTGATTGTTGCAAACAAGTTACTCTGTGTTAAAAATGAAACAGACATTAACCTTTTAATTATAATTAGTGTAACACCCCCAACCCGTACCCGACTCGAATACGAGTCTGAGGTGTCACATTGACTCTTGACAAAATTCAAGGAAAATTTAAAACTTTCATTAAAATAAAGGTAATTTATTTACATAAATTGACCAAAATAACTAAAATCGATCAGAGCATTCATAACTGACACTTTTCTTACATGCCAACACACTATATACAACAAAATACATACTTTATCAGTTACTTCTAATCTGGTCTTCTAGTAATGATGTTGTTCTTGCCACCCCTATTTATGCTCTTCTGAATTCTTGGTACCTACGTGTAAATCACTTACACGCTAAGTCACAGACTTAGTGAGGCATAAATAAACATATAACAATAATATCACGAATATACATTACTATCAATCCACTAGGACATTGCGATGCACATGTAAATACCACACAATGACATATGAGTAGGATATGCATGAATAAACAATTATGTTTCATAAGAATTTCCTTTAGTTTATCTTTGGATGCCCATGTACATTATTGAGAACAGAAGGTACGCGAGTACACTAAGGTTGTGCACAATGCTGTCACCACAGCTCGAATAAAATCTCACTAGGGGCACTGAATATTTGTCCCGAAGGACCACTATGTCCCGAAAGACCACTATGTCCCGAAGGACCACTGATATGTCTCGAAGGACCACTATATCCCCGAAGGACCACTGATAATCCCTCGACTCTTGGCATGCCAATTATACCTTCAGCTCTCATATTAAATAACATGAGCTTAATTATAAATACATTTCTCATTTCATATCTCGTTCATCACTATCCATGTAAACACATAAGTCACTTCATATGATCATTTTCATTATTTCACATACCTGGAAGGATTCTCTGATAATGACATTCATTCATATAATATCATGTTAAATCATGAATGAATTATACATAGAATCACTATAGAATCATAAATTCAATTATAAGAGATAGACTTATCACAAGTCTTATCTCAATACAATTCTATCTAGGATAGGCACTCACCTTAGCCTTGCTTTGACTCGATTCTAATCCTTCGATTGTTTCGGAACAAGATTACACTCTAAATCTACATAGTAATACATTGATACATATCAGTATACTAATTGATATATATCTAACTATCACTTCTTACACTAAAAGAAAGGCTAATTTCATCTCTTAATGAAGGTATGTATCGATGCACTCTACAGTGTATCGATGCATCCCTCAGTGTGCATCGATGCACTATCTATGCATCGGTACACAAATCACATTCGATGTTTTTATGTTAAGGGGGTGAATCAATGCACTCCTTATGCATCGATGCACTAATTGCATTCAATGCTTATTTATTTGAGAGTGCATCGATACACATTGAAGATGCATCGATGCACTTAATCCAGAAATTTCATTTTAAGCACTAAATTCATTCTTTTTCAGCTCAACTCTTCATCTTTCACATCCTTTAACATTCTTAACTCTTATACACCTATTTAAACTAATTAATACCCATTCAATACCTCTTAACCTTAAAAATCCAATTCTCCACATAGAATTCAAGAATCTCACTCAATTTCCAACATGTTCTAAATCTAATTCTAACACTTCATATGTCTTAATAAAGTCGATGACAAATCAAATTCAACCTCCAATTCTAATTATGAACTATATTTCAAAATTCAAGAACTCTTAACCTTTAATTCTTCATACACTCTTCATCTTGTTGTTTTAAAGCAACTTAAGCTTTACTTAAGCTTAATTAGCATCTAATAATCAAAACAACACTTAAATTTCAACAAACAATTAGCTCATGAGAAATTTCACCTTTGTTTTGACCTCTTCACGTGTGGAGAAAGAAGATAAGAAGAGAACTCTGGAACCTTGTGTTTTTCTTCAATCTCTTCCACATGTAGCTAATATATATATATATCTTCTTTAATTATTATTTTTCCATGCAAATGACTATTCTATCCTTCAATTCCATCTTCCTTGCAATTTAACCCTATAACAAATTACAATAATATTCAATTATTCTGCTTTAGTCACCAAATTCTGAAGTTTTATAATTTAGTCACTAACCCGGTATTGAGGCTGTTACAATTAGATCATTCAATTTATTGATTATTACAATCAAATTATTGAATTAAATGACTATTACTATCAAGTCACTCAAATTTAATACGAGTTGTACGAACCAAACGACCTCATTGGTTAAAAGAATGGTTGTAAATCTTTGAGGTTCAGATTGACGTCTAAGGATTATTTGAGCGTTTATTGTCAAATGGTTGAAAGTCTTTTAAACAAAAATCATTTTGTAATCATCACAGACTAATCAAAAAGAAATTTTAATACGAATTTTAAACTTTGGTATGATTTTGAAAAAAATAGAAAGTTAGGAACCAAATGAGATCAAAACTGATAGTTTAAGTACTAAATGTGTAATTTACCCTTATTTTTAATTCAACAGGGTTTATTTTAATGTTTTAAAATGGATGGTTTGAAGAAAAAAAGAAAAAAATGCATAGATGCTGAAGCTTAAACTTCAAACATTTTAAAAATTATATTTTAGAGATGACTATCAGAGAATTTAAAACTAAGCATCAATTCAAATGATTAAGGGGAAGAATGTAATATTTTATATTAATATTACAAATTTAAAGGTAAAATTATAAAATTTAAGATGTAAAATTAACAACAACAACAAAACCCTATTCCCATATGTAATGGGGTAAATGAGAGGTAGTATAGTAGGCTGCCCCAACGCCAGGTGAGAGCAGCTTCCGTGGAAGACCTCTGACAGTCAAGGAAATTAAAAATAAAGATAAAATACAATGCATGTATAAATAAATAAATAGTTGAACAATCTTCATTAGGGCTGTAAATGAGACGAGACATATCGCGAGCTACTCAAGATTGACTCGATCAAGGCTCGATAAATACTCGGATCGAATGGACTCGACTCGAGTTCTTAACGAGCCGAAACAAGCTACTCGATATTCGACTCTAAAAGCTCTTGAGCAGCTCGAAAATATAATATATTAAAAATTTATTTTTTTAGAAATAAATTATTAATAATATTAAATATTTATGTATTGATTTTTTATATAAAAAATACAGTAAGATTTCTTGTATTTAATGTTCATGTTTGAGTTTGAGGCTTCAATCGAGTTAAGTTTAAGATTTTTTTTTTCATTTCGAGCCTTTTCGAGCTGCTCACGAGCTTCAGTTTAGGATTTTGAGTTCGAGTCGAGCTTGAAAATTTTAAGCTCGCGAGTTTTCGAGTCGAGTCGAGTCGAGCTTCATTTCAAAGTTTTCGAGTCGAGTCGAGCTCAGTAATACTCGAGCTCGACTCGGCTCATTTACACTCCTAGTCTTCATATGCAGTCTTCATATGTGCGTCTGTAATGGGAAGTAATCCCTGCATAATAATCACTGTATATAGACAGAAATGTAAGTCCCGACTAAATTTGAAAAGAGGAAACATGAAGGGAAAGAATACACAGTAGTCAGCGATAGCAAGCTACTAGAAGGAATAAAGTCAAATGGGTTACCACCTAAACTAAGGCAACACTACTCCGCTACTCTAGTTTTGGGCCTTCATAGCTTCCAATGATAGAAACGTATAGAAGTAGAAGTCATGGAAATTACTACAGAGGCATTAAAAAGAAGACAAAGATGCTACACCCCCATGGCTGTGACCCACACTACTCGGCTACCCTGGTCTTAAGTCTCCATACTTTCCTGTCAAAGGTCATGTCCTCGGTAAGTGCTAAATCCTTCAAATCAGATCTCAAGCAGTCTACACACTTCCTCCTTGGTCGTCCTCTCCTTCTGGAACCTTCGACTGTAATCGACTCTACCCTCCTGACTACATCCGACGGTTGTCGCCTAAGGACATGCCCAAACCATCGTAGTCTTCCCTCTCTCAATTTTTCAGATACAGGCACCCCCAAGGACATCCTAATTGCAGAGTTTGGTGTCATGTCCCACAGAGTCTTACCACATGTCCAATGAAGCATTCTCATTTCTACGGCCTCCATCCTCCTTACGTGATCCTTCTTGATTGCTCATCATTCTGATCCATACATCAACGCTGGTCTTATTGTCATTCTATAAAAATTTCCCTTAAGTTTTAGAGGCACCTTCTTGTCACACAAAACTCCAGTAGCAGCCCTCCACTTTAGCCATCCCGTCTTTATACGGTGTGTAACGTCATCATCTACACCCCCATCTTTATGTATCATAGACCCTATGTACTTGAAATATTTCTTTGAGGGGAGAACGTGTCCATCGATGCATACTTCTACATCTTAATCGTTTTGGTTCCCACTGAAATTTGAACATAAATACTCTGTCTTTTCAATATCGATCCTTAAACCTTTTTCTTCCAAAGCAGTCTTCCAGGTAGCCAGTCTACTATTCAGCTCATTTTTTGTTTCAGCAACTAGGACAATGTCGTCAGCGAAAAGCATACACCATGGAACACCGTCTGGTGTCGCACAATATATGTCGTCTGGAGTCCGATTTCCACCGAGAAAGCCTCGGTGTTGCCAACTGTAGTCCTGACGTATATAGTAGATCTACAGTACATATCACGAATCGCCCGGATATAAGCAGTTGGGGTCCGTCTCTTTTCCAAGGTCTTCCAGATCGTATCTCGGGGTACGTTATCATACGCCTTCTCAAGGTCAATGAACGACATGTGAAGATCTTTATTCTTTTCCCTATATTTTTCCATAAGCCGTCGAAGTAGATGAATCCCCTCCGTAGTAGACCTGTCTGGCATAAAACCAAATTGGTTTTCTGAAACCCTAGTAACATGTCTTAACCTAGCCTCTATCACCCTTTCCCATAGCTTCATGGTATGATTGAGTAGTTTAATACCTCTGTAGTTACCACAACGTTGGGGATCTCCTTTATTCTTATAGATTGGTATCACCGTAGACTCTCTCCACTCCTCTTGCATCTTGGCAGTCTCTAAATAATATTAAAGATATTGATCAATCACTTAACTCCCTCTTCTCCTAGGGTCAACCACACAGTGATAAGAATTTGAATACGACCGCATCCAATATTTCTTGATCCATCTTTCCATAACATTTGCCTAAATATTCTAATTAATGCCCACCAAATTAGAGTTTCGTTTGTTTGTTAATGTGTAGTTTCTTTCTTTTGCACAAATGCAGTAATAAAATTTTGAATCATTGCACTATAGTTCATGCTATCCAAATGGCATTCATATGAATTAATCACAACAAATAAATATGACTATTCAGTCTTGTTTTGTCTTTTTGTTATTTGTTTCTAGTAAACTATCTATCTCCCAATTATTAGATTGTTATTAGTTTGGTTATTAACTACTTTTTAATTAAGATAATAAAATAAATTAATAAAATATTAATTATTGATGTGATAAATTTTAATTATATTATAACATATTTAACTTTTATTACGTATTTATTCTATCGGTTCAAACTTAATTCTATTAAATTCCCGGGTGTCTTGTCTTTGTCCTCGTAAAATTCCTGAAAATTTATCTTCTTTTTTTATATATAATTAAAATTGCTTTTAATGTTAAAGTCTCCTCAAAATTATTGAACAGTATATGGTGATTTTGGTGTTTGTTGATCATGACAAAAATCTATAATTTTTCCTTAGATTCGCCGTGAACAAGCTCGGCGGGTTCCATATAATTTGCATCTACTTTTTTTTAGATCAAATATTAAACTAAATCTTCAATTTAACCATGGATATAATAGTATACCGTAAGGTAAAAAGTAAAAGATGAAAATAACTAACCTGGACTTGCAATCAGGGTCGATCCTGACATTTTAAGAGCTCTAGGTAAAATAAGAAATAAGGACCCTTAAAAAATAACTTAAAATTTAAGAATAAATTTCGGTAAACGTCAAACAAATTTTTTCATTAAAAATTATACGAGTAGATTCTATTACATTAACCAACATTATTTTACCAAATATATAAAGAGACATCACAATTTTCACTCAATTTACTCATATTATGTCTTTAATCATCTCTTAGAATCGTTTCTCTAAATCGAAAATTGACGCCTCACCTATAAAACAACATACACAAATTCTCATAAGAAACGATTTCCTCTAACATTTTGAGATGCAAAGTCATTGATAATAACATCAACATTAATGTTTCCTATAAAAAGGTTACAAACAGACAAAATATGAGGCCATCAAGCAAAGCAGATTTTTCCTTTGTCACAAGGAGGAAAAATAAAGGTAAAAATGACCCTGAAAGGGATTTTATGCACTAACCATGGAAAATTCCAAAGCTCAACTAGTTTAGGTCAATAAACCCACTTGATCATCATTAAATATTAAAATATGATCGGAATAATTCGACCACACTGCAAGGAAAAAGTTGTGCTAGCCAGATAAATGAGAGAAGAATTTCATAGAACAAAGTCGGTGCAATTGCATCAGCAGCATATAAAAATGAAGACTCAAACAATCATTCATACCGAAAATACAACAAACATCAGGAAGATAACATTTGAGAAATTTCAGAGAATTCACCCCTATCGCTTTCAAAGGGAAAATACATTAAGATGCTCAAAACAGATAAATTTTCATCTTGCAACCGATAGACATAGAATTTTGAATCCGATACCATAATACAGATCTTGATCATTCAACTAGAAATATCAGCTTCATTAGCCTCAACAAATGAAATATTATAGTATTGCATTCTATTTTCTCAAATAAATATGAAACCCATTACCAAAAACTATATAACCTTTTCTTTCTAACCCAAGCTATTTTCTAAGGAGCCAGACAGAAACTACAACCGTCACTTCTCAAATTTATAAATCATTAGAATTTAGAAGCCAAACAATAGAAAGCCCTACTAGCCTCAAAAGTTCATCTTACCTCGTTTTCCCCAGCAACAAATAAGACAGGCCTAAAAGGTCCAAAACACCCCAAACACATAATACTAACAAAATAAAAACCCATTTTTTAATCTCCTTCACCCTCCTCCCCCACAATTTAATTCGCGACACTGCAAACCTTCCATGCCTCTTCCAACAATGGCGGGAGGCCAGAAGAGTTGCCAGAATCTCGCTCGTTTCGAAATTATATTGGCTTCAAATAATTCAAATTAGGAACGTTAGGAAGAAGAAAGGATTTTAAAACCTGGAAATTGGAAAGGGAAACAAGCAGTCGATTCGCGCATAGTTTACTTACCATGAAGTTTCGATTTCCTGTCGCTCTCTCTCTCTTTCGTGACTTACTGGTATTTGTTGTAGTGATATAAATCTATTGAAAATAAAGTGTGAACAGGATTGAAAAGAAAACGTGTTATTCTTCAAGGTCGAGGACAAAATGTTTCTTTGACGACTTGAGCAGATTAGGATGGCACTCAAAATCTTCTTAACCAAACCGTCTGGATGTAAAATGTGCATATCCATTGAGATTCTTGTCTATGCACATATCCATTTGTTTAGAAACCTTATGAACTTGATCTATGAGAGTTGATTAATGTTCCATTTAGTGATTAAGTAATCACTAGAATTATTTAAGAGGAAAAATAATTAGGATAATATTATATAAGGAGTATCAGAAACGGACGTAGAATTTTATGTTAGGAGATGAACTCTTAAAATTTTAAGAAGAAAGTAAAATTATAAAATTATAGGGGATAAAACATATTATCAATAGAATAAAGTGTATAATATAATAATTTAAAATTTTTAGTAAATTTTTAGTGGACGACTACCTCTCTTCTATCCATACCCTGTCTACTATTAACTTTGATTTAAATTGATGTTTGATTTAAATTGATGTTAGCGTATCTTTTATATTGAAATATTATCATGATTTTTTTAGAAAGACTGAATAAAGTAAATCATGGATCCAAATATATTTTATTGTTTATTTTTTTCAACTACAACTAGCCCAAACTATTATCTAACACAACTATACCAATTATCGGTATCAAAACCTAATGTTGATATATTAGGAGTTGATCCTACATAATTTGTGCCAATGAAGGAAAAACAATCAACCAACATGTCTCCCTTACTCGATAGAACTTACTACGACTACTGGAAAGCTCAACATACATATATATATATATATATATATATATATATATATTTTTGAAGTCAAATAATGAATGAAGAGAGATGGATAGAAGGGACGACTTAGATATTTTTTTTATATTTTCAATTGATAATATTTTTTTGTCCGTCAGAATTTTATAAATCTACTCCCCTTAACAACCTAAGATCATGCATCCCAACATCATTTTTTATCATTAATCCACTTGACAAATATCCCCAACATCACCCCAAATTCTAATATTTTGTGATTTTTTTTATTTGGACTTACTGCCAGCAATGTTTAAAACAATGTCAGCAGACACCAAATATTCCAGTAGAACCATAGATTTAAAGCGCATGCAATATCAAATTTTCAAATGCCTTGCACTTGCAGGTTTCATTGTTTTAACATTAATACTCGAATAAAATGAAAGGATTTCAGTATATTAAGGTTGTCTCCGAAAATGTTAACATCGAATAAACTAAAAGAGAGTAAACATAAGTTTATAAACCATAATGCTTAAAACTACTTGACTTAATATTTCTAGAAGGAGACGAAGTTTCTCCTTGCAGTTCATCTGTCACCCGATGCTCATCTTTCCCCATTCTCTTCTTCTATTATTTCACTAGACAAAGAAGAAAATAATTTATGGTCACCATAAAAGATGTAGGAAAATAACGACACCAATTCTACATAATGAAACAACTGAGATGATAAGGACTAATTCTACATAAGAGGCTAAAAAATGAGAGAATTTCCCAAGTAAATGAGTGAAAACGTAAAGTGAGATGAGAAATTGAGGAAATACATACCGAAGCAAGTGGGTGAGAGTGGCAACAATGACGTGATCAGCCCGCTCGAAAGCTTTTAAGATTTGGAACATGAGAGCCAATTTGGTTTGGGTCCCTACCAGTTTGCTGCATAATCATTCTGGTTTCTCTCTTCAATTCATCGCACTCTTTCTCAACGCATTCAAATTTCTCCCTCACTTGTCGCTGTACTTCTCTTATATTTTGTTGTTCCATGCCGATTTCCTCAATTTCTGCTTTCAGATTCGCAATTTTTCCCGCGTGTTCTTCATTCCGCCTTTTTTATGCTTCTTCAACTGCACCAACATCAACAAGCCTTCAGATTTCTTAAAAACCGACCTCAACAAATAAATTTCTAAATTAAAGATAATAAAGTTAAAAGATAAGAAATAGAAATGGATTACATTCTTCGATAGAGACCGGAAAATTTCGATATTGTGAGCATTGCCTTTTTGACCTAATTCTTATTCTAATTACTTGTAATCAGAGATCCAAAATCTTATTTATTTATAAGAAAAGGTTCATAGAAGCGAATCATAGACATCGCGCGACACTCCCATTTAACTCTCGAGTGTCGCGAGTTACTGTGATAAACAGCACTATTTTATTCCTTTCCTTAGAACTGACGCGTGTCCCTATACATGCTCTTTTTGCATTGGGGCAACAAAGCGTGAGACTCACGCTTTCTTTACGCAAAATACATTGTTGGCCCTTTAGTTTAAAGTATGGTCTCAAAGTTTAAGTATTTTGTGATTTTGTCCTTAATGGGTTTTAGTCGACTTATTGCTAGCAATATTTTAAAATTAAACATGATTTGCTAGTCGAATAGTCGTGATCTTATTTTATTATTTAATGGTTGATTTAGGAATTTCGATAATTTAAAGATAATAATTGGTTTATATAATTCAATCTATTTTTTATAAAATTTTCTTATAATTTAATTCAATTTTCTATTTATTTAATAAAAATATAAATTGTTATTAATTTTTAAAAAATAGTTTATGGTGATTACGAGGTAATATCTGTACAGAATTTTCTTGATCAAGTAATAACACATATCATACAAACGTAACTGCTATAACATAAGATAGGTAAGGAGCATCATTCTTTTTTACTAGCGAAACTATTTGATGAGCTCTAAACTATTATTAGTTAAAATAATTATGTTATTAACAAGGATGGACCAAGAGAGGGGCGGATGGGAGCTGTCGTATTCTTAAAAATTTTAATTTCCTATATATTATAGATATTTTTTGTATTTTCTATTGAAAATATGTTTTCGTCCACCTAAAATTTTATAAAATATTCATTATTTAAAATTTTATAAGTTCGTCATTCTTAACATAAAATCCTGCGTCATTCTCTTGTCATTAATACACAAATTAACCTGAGATATTTTAATACATGTGACAACAAGACGAATGCAAAATTTCATGCTATAGACAATTTCTAAAATTTTAACAAGGGGATAAATTTATAAATTTTAGGGACATCAATATATTTTAATAGAAGATATATATAAAATTTTTCAAATATATAATAATTTTAATTTTTCAAAATGACGATTGTCCCACGCTTCCTATCCATCCCTGTGTATCAAGTTAATAGGCTAAGAATGTCACCTCGTCCAAATTCCAACAGAGTTAACATTTTGGGATGAGGTGTTTAACATGGTCTAAGTGATGCTACTGTGGACAAAATTTTCATTTAGGGACTTATATGGACCTAATTACAAATTTCAACAATAACAAGATTTACATTGACAATTTTAAAATAATAATTGTAGTTTGGTTCTTTGTTGTTTTCTTTATCGATTAACACGTGTACTCTTTTTTTTTCTGTCTAAGTTAAAGAGATTTTTAATGAGACATGTGTTATTCTCATGTATGATTCTTTTGGTTATGAATCATACTTTTTTAC